AAGCGGCGTAGCGTCGGAACGGAAATCGCACCTTTTCTAGTCGCTTGTTCCTTGAGCCAAAGTACATATGGTACATATATATATGTACATGTTGCACTGTACATGTCGCTGCACTTCCATTCGCATCATGTATACACTGGCTTTGTTTCTTCCACACGCATGTCGAATACCTTATAGCCAAAAACGATTCGGCCTGAGGACAACTAGATATAGATTCCGACCTCTCAGGCGACACAAGTCCTAAGCACTCCCCGTCCTCTAAGGCCTGTGGAAGGTCGGTTGCCAACACTCGAGCACCCATGGAGGCACAAACCAGGGATGGCAAACCCACGCCACAACCCAGCTCGACCACACGTTTGCCGCTCCTAGCAAGTTCCAAATCCAATCAAAGCAGAATGGGAATGCAGGGATTGCAGGGTGCATGCGATGTTGCCGCGTGTTGCCGTTGGACTGTTGGATGTTGCTGTTGCTCAATGTGTCGCCACTTTGCAAATCAATTTGCTCCAGCTCCTCAGGAGTTGGCGGTGCACCTCCATAGCATAGTCGCAGACTGCCACCATGGGGCCCCAGTCCTCCGCAACACCGGTCAAATCTGGCTGCGATTCGCCACAGTTCTACGGTCAAGAAAGCAGCTGTTACATCCTGTGGCCGCGAACATTTATGTCAAGCCACTGTACATATTTAGTCTTTGTAAATTAGACCCAGTCAAGCCAAGGGCCTCTTGGACCGTTGCATGGCCAGCAGAAGTGACGTCTAAGCAAAGGTATCTATTTGTGGCATTCTGTCTGACAAACAAAGGGATGCGGTCACTGAAGAAACACATGTTCACCATGTCTTTGAGAGTCTGAAAAGCCACACACATACAGCACGGTCCGAGAAGGAGGAGCCGTGTGGGAGCTGCCGGACCAGCCGGAGGATCCGTGGGGCAGTGGGGATCTCACACAGGAATGTTGGCTCGGCCTCCTCGTCGCCTGCACTTGACTCACACGTCGACCCTCCTTCTTAACGGAACGGAAGTTGTCACGACAAGTTGCCACGAACAACGGAGAAGTGAAAGGGCATTGGAGACACAAGTCTTTAACTTATCGTTTACAAAGAAGACTTCGTGGGTACAAAGAACCACCTATGCAGAGAGCTGAAGCTGTCCTGCCTTGCTCTTCCCAGCGAAAGAAGAGATGGTGCGAGGGGCTGGTGGTTGACGGCACCACCAACTTCCCATTTCGATCGCGTTCAGGGCCCTTTTGGCTTCCTTGCAGCTCAAGCTTCAGCGACCTCGAAAAACGGAAAAAACATCAAAGCTTTCTTAACGGCCTCAGAACCAAAGCAATTGACACTTTGAGTTTTCGTCGAATTTGCGTCTCTGTGGTTCCACACCTTCGGGAAACGGCCATGGGGTTCACACGACATGGCACGAGGATCCCATCAGGAAAACATCACGTGTAACGGCCCTCAGCACGACAAAAAAGTAAGCTGGGGACAGGTGTAGGAAGGGTGTGATTTGGTTTTATCTGGCTTGTTTCCGAAGTCAAATAGTATTTTTGTCTTTTTCACGGTGGGCTGGTGGCACTTACGGATTTTTGCCATCTATCTTGTCGTGCTGCCGCGTCTGCCCGTCCCTCTTGGACCCTGATTTAGTATCCAGCCATCTTGAGCAAGACATGGCAAGTGACAGGCCACAAAATCTCCTGCCCGGGTATGTGCAAGGTCAATGGGGAGTCCCATGTTGGTTCCACAATACATCTTTGAGATCGTTGCGGGACTGTAGTTTTCTTTTTTCAGTAGCCCATATGAGTCCCGTGTTCAAATCACTCTAAGGTGGGCGAGGCCCGCCCTCATCAACTCACAGTATCGTTATCGATTCGGAGTGTGCACGTTTTGTGATTCTTGAATGCGTTGGCATAGCATCACAGTCCAGGTGACTGCTTGACTGCTAACCCCCACGGTGTCAAGCACATCCATCCAGCCCCAAAGCAGTAACTTTGTCAAAACTATTTCTGATCTGAATGCATGTGCTCTGACACCAGAAGCCCCTTGACAGCTGCCAATTGTGTTTTGAACGAATGCAGTCTTGACAAAACAGGGGGTGATTGTCCAGAAGGAGTTGAGAGCACTGTTGAAAAAAAAACACTGTTCATTGTCCATGCTTCAAAAACCTGTACAGTAGTTGCAACAACAATCATGCTTAGTAAGCTCAAGTGGCAACACAAAGAAATTTGGCAGCTGTCTCGAATTGCTCCCAAAGCAATTCTGCATTACCCTGTGGCAGCCTGCACGTATGGCCATGTGGCTTGTATAGATTGGGCAGCTTTCAAGTGTGTTTGAAGACCAGTGCAGGCAGGTGTCAATGATATCACTGACACGCCCCGCCAATCATTGTTGAACAACAAAGGATAGCAAGCAAGTTGGCCGCACACACGGACCTC